AATATACTAACATACAGTCAATAAGTGATTGTTTCCTCTATGTTAGTCAGCATGGGAACAGGATAACCAACAATTTGGACTTTAAGTTCATGTGAAAATCAGAAGATGTCAGTCAGGACATCATCAAAGATCCAGCAGTGTGATTTCTCTCTCTCTCTCTCACTCTCTCTCTTGGTGGGTGGGTGTGTGTGTATGTGTGTATGGGTGTGTGTATGTGTGTGTGTGTATGGCTGTGTGTGTGTGAGTGAGGGATGGAGGGAGGGAGGCGGTTATGTAATCAGCAACAGACTCTAACCACTTTGTTTGCCATCTTTTCTCTGCAGGCCTTCCCCTGCATCTCCACTGGAATCTACGGTCAGTGTGTGTGTGTGTGTGCGTGCATGCATGTTTAAATGTGTGTCTCATCCTCAGACCAGAACAAATGCAATGCAATAAATGACATTTTCATCTAGTGTGTATGAGTGTGTGCTTATTGGTCACTCGGGGCTTTAAACTCAAACTTGAGTTTGTTGTGTGACACAGAAAATCAATTTTGGTCAAACAACAGTATATCTGTGTGTCTGTGTTTATGCGCTGTTCACACTGGCTGTGTTTTCCGTTGAGTGCTTCTTTCCAGTATCAGTGTTTCTGTTTAACCAGAGTGCTGAGCCGCCCGGTGCTACTTGTCACGTTATCTCCTGCAGCCCAGAGGTGGTTCTCTGATTAAGGCCCTGGATTAAGACTGGCAGATTAAGATAGATTAGACCAGAGATAGTGTCAGATTGACTGTAATCCCCCTTCACACTGGCAGGAGAGAGAATTAAGAATGATGCTTAAGCACTCCCCAGGGTGGGCCTGTTGACGACACACTCTTCCACAGCTTGAAACAGAAAAAGGCCAAAGTTGTTATCGACTCAGTGAGTTTCCTATGTCTTCCTGTTGTAACTGTGAATTTCTCTTTCTTTCCTCTGGAGTGTTTTGTTGCGGTAAGAAAAATTAGAGCGTAACAAAAGGTTATCTCATTTAAAATCAATAAAAACTACTTAACAAAGCTCATGTGACTACACCACCTAACGGAACAAGACAAAACAAAAATAAGAAAAATAACATAAAAATAAAATGTTAAAACAAACAACATCCGTTAAGACCAGTTAAAAATCATGTTTTGAAAGGCTTTCCTATAAAAATATGATTTGAACAATGATTTTTAAAGCAGGCTAAGTCAGGAAATCTTCTCAAGAGTTCCAGAGCCTCAGGTCCTGATGGTGACATTATGGTCACCTTTAGTTACAGCTTTGATTTAGGACCTACAAGCAAGTGTTGGTTGGATGATCTTAAATTGCGGCTTGAAGCATATCAGGAGCTAAGAGCTCTATAAAATAACAGGGGGCCTGAACTGGCTGATCTTCAAAAGTTATTCAAAGAATCTTAGAATCAATTCTAAATTTAACTGGCAACTAATGAATTAAGTTATGGGCCCCAAGCTTGGTGTTGGTTCAAATATGAGCGGCAGCTTTCTGCATCAGATGTAAGTTATACAGAATGTGTCACAGCTGTGCTCATCACAGTTTCACCTGCTTTGGGATGTGATGAAATTGAGAAAAAAGGAATCTGTGGTGCCAAAAAGGCTTCCAGCCAGTCGCAGTGGTAGTTTTTGAATAATGCTACAGACGACCTGTTGTATTTAAATTGGATTTGAAGCACTGAAAACCCAAATGTGTTTTGAACAAATTTAAACGTTACGAGAGAAAAAATATTTCACCAGCATTTCCCATTTCACAGACATCCAGTCATCCATCCAATGTCTAGAACAATAAGAAAAGTTCAAGTTAAGGATTTACAGCCACAGAGGCAATTACATTCCTTCCAGCTTATTAGACCTTGTTATAGTTTAGTGGGCAGACATTGGATGGGAATTATATGAGGTCACTTAATTTAATTTACTCAACTAAACAGTTAATGTGTATTGGTACGGATTTAATTTCTGACTTGATTACTTTCAGTAGAAACTTTTATTTTGATATTTATAAGTTTGAGCCTGGAAACCATCTGACCTGGTTGTACCAATTGTTACCAATTATCTAATGTTAATTTACAATGTCCGTGTGTGCTACATCACAGATTCATTAATCTTGTTCTGTGAGCATTAATGACAACCCTTGGAAAATAAAAAAATAATAATTTAAAGGTTCCAGATCCAATTGCAAATATGTTTTGATACCAAACTAGAAAAAATGTGTTCATGTCATTTTAGATGATCAGTGTGGATGGTGTGAGTACAATTTGCAGTTGTGTTACACATGCATCATTAAAACTGTTTGGTTAAAACTGAGTAAAGATCATGGTTATGATCAAATATTTAAAAAGTAAATATGTCCTGTCTCATGCCTGGAGTCACTGTTGACTTTTTAATATTAAAAGAAGACCATGATCTTTCCTTACCTAGCAGGTGATTTGAACTAACTGAACATAAAAACCACACAACTTACTTTAGTTGCCAGTTGTGGATATTGTAATAAAACAAAATGAAATATGATGATGCATTACACAATATTGGAATTTATCAAGTTTACAAATTCATTTCTTTAGAACATTTCCTTATTATGTTCTTATGAAGAGTTGATGTTGTTGCTGTTGTTGAAAGTCAATGAATGTAGTTAGTGGAAAAATTCACAAATTCTAGTACTTATTGTTCAAGCAAACTTTATTGGTTGAAATATAAATCACAGAAAGACAAACTTTTTTCTGCATCAACCTTCCCAAATCTCGTGTAGCGTGAAAAGTACATGTGTTTACACATAAACGATACACTGTTCAGTGCAAGTTCTCACCCCTGTGTATTCCTCTGTGTTCTGATGTTGAACCCTCTGTTTTGATGTATGGAATAATTACTGTATAATCCCCCAGCGTGTTTGTTAAGGCCGAACACTTTGCACCAGACGATGAATTTTCTCTGCCTTTGTGTTGTGTTGCTTTTCCAACAGTAGGGATCATTTTCTAGCAGCAAAAGGTCTCCTCAGCTGAGTGAATTAATGAGGAAACACTGTAGTTTTTCTCCATCTGTCTGCTCGTAACCAACAAGTGTGTTATGTCTGCATCTTGCCCGAATAGGCAAGTTGAGATGAAAGGAAGCGAGAAAACACAAGTGTTAGAATAATAAAAGGAAGAACTGATACCTGTATGGAAAAAGAAAACAGTGCATAAGACCGAATGCAAACAGACGGATCTGTCACTGCATCTGTTCCATCGTGTGTATATTTTGATGTTGTGTGTGTGTCCCTGTAGGATATCCACCCGAACAGGCTGTGCACGAGGCGTTAGCAACTGTGAGGGAGTACCTGGATGCACATCATGACAAGGTGCGTACACATGTGTGTGTGCGCGTCTGTGTGCTTGTGTCTGCATGATTGGTACATTTTCCCTACCATTTCCTCCAGGTATTTTTCTTTTCACAGCTGTTGTTTTTGTTTTCTGGTGAGAGCAAGGAGAAGGGTGAATTGAGAGATGCAGTGACACACACACACACCTAAACATACATTTAAACACACACTCCCAAGTTCTGTCTCTCATGCTCATGGCAAAGTCTGCGTTTTAATTAGCTCCTTGCGGGACAAACACACATACACACGCACACACTTTCTCTCTGGAGAAACGGCGAGCAAAGAAAAGACAAAATGATGGAATAGATGACTGGAGGGGAGGGACAGAGGGGAAGGAGGGGGCTGATGGGAGATTGGAACAAAGAAGAAAGTTTCCAATCAGTCGTTTACATGCTCTAAACTCTCCTCCCTCTCGTCTGAGGTCTCCTCCCACTGCTCTTTTCAATCTTTCTCTCTCTCTGTAAGCACCGGGCTCTATCACCAGAGAGGGTGTTGACGATGTTATTGTTAACGCTGGCGTCTCCAGAGCTTCTGCAGCGATGCCAGTTGACTGATGCAATCTCTGAGCTCAATAAACGAACATTAAACATTACATAATTTACCATAGAGTACAACAGTCAACAAGCCTTAAACGGCTGAAAATAAGACCAGAATGCCAAATCAACGAGACGTTTATTTACGTTCTGCTCACAAATAGCTCCACTGTGTGTTTTCTTTATGGGGGAAAAAGTTTTATTGTAAACAAATGAGATTGTGAGACCTACTTCATTTGCATGCATATATAATAAGACTGTTCACCAGAGGAAATTGCGTTTGCACTTGAATTGAACTGCTTCAGTTTTACAATTTTTTTAACAATGTGTTTTGTTGGGCTCGCTCTGGCTTGGAGAGCTGTAATGTAGAAAATGAAATTGAAAATGGCAGAAACACTAAGGCACAAAATGGACTGAAGGAGGGGCAATGTGCCAACAAGCTCCATCAAGTGGAATAAAAACACAATCATTTATTCATAAAACACAAACAAGGCTGTTACAAAAGGCTGCAAGAAAGTAATAACCAAGACAGCTCCAAGAGATTCAAAGGTATATTTTTCAAATTGGAGTCAGAGTTGACCAGAAATAGGATGTTTGAGATTTTAGAAAACAGTTTCACATTAAATAAAATCCCAATGCTCAGTTTGTACCGTAGCTGTACTATAAACCGTATATAATGATGAACAACGCTTCTCTACTTCATCCCACTATCCAGAAGTGGAGCCAAATAACCTGCATTTGAATGCTGCCATCTTGTGGCAATGACTTCATTTGGAGCCAGTGTCTGCATTGTAGTGATCAGGGATGACCCTGTAGTAGCGAGGTCATGCCGATACCTACGCTCGACCAATCAGGAGTCAGTCTCACCTCTTTTTTATAGCATCAAATAACTAATTGAAACCCAACTTATCGGATAGATAAACAAGAAACACACATGAGTGTTTGGTCCATGTCCCCTCCACCAACATGGATGAGGCCTGGTTTATGACCTCTACTGCCACCAGCCACCAGGGGGCAATTAAGATGTTTTGGCTTCACTTTTGGAGAGATGTTCTGTCGTCCATCTTTATATGGAGCCTATGAGGTGTTCATGCAAGCTTCTTCAGCTCTGTAATGAACACACTGTTGCATTAAACATACATCACAAAAATTTGGCACTACCTCCAAAACTCTTGGTCAGTAATTTCTGTAAGAGACAGGAATATTTACAGCCTCTGTGCATTCACGTAAAGACAGCCAGTCGTGGGGGAGCACATTACATTCAGTTGAGGTTGTTACTAGATTTACCATCTCCAGGGTCCATGTTGCAACAGTATCAAAATGAGCTCCCTGCTGCTGCCATTTTCTGGGGGCCATTTTGCATCTTCCCTCATAAGCATTTCCCTTAATTTGAATGAGGAAGGCTGCAAAATGGCACAAATGGGGGCAAGTTGCTGTTGAGGTTAGAAATTCCAAACCGTAGCCGAGGGGATGTAGTTACTTACTGCACATTTCCATATCTTCCCTTTTAGCCTCCCTTCAAATCCTGGCAAGTGATCGTAATTGTGCAACAAGCTGGGACTGAAAAACCCGGGCTGCGGGCAAGCAGGCTGCTGAAATGTCTTTGAAAGCAATGAGACCTTAACTCCCACGCCAGGCAGAAAGTAATAGAAACAGCCTGGTTATAAATTGTACTACCTTGCCCAGAACGGAAAATCTTTGTAGAGACATCATGGTGGTAATAATGTTTGTCAGAGTCTGAGAAATAAGAGAACATGTTGGAGCTTATGTCCCTGGATGCATTATTTTACTGTAGCTGCTGTAGCTTTAATCATCTGACATATATTGTTATGTACTGTACTGAATGTCCACATATACTGAGCATAATGTAAATATTATAGACTAGAGAGCCAGGATCTAAAGAACACAAGAGCATAAAGATTGTTTATTGTCATAAAGTAGCTGCACTCACTCGACCAGTGTCAAGTGTGTGTGTTTGTGCGTGCGAGCGTGCATGCGTGCGTGTGAGCGTGCGTGTGAGCGTGTGTGTTCACAGTGGTGGACAGGGTTTGATGCTATGGCTCTGGATTGAGTCAACTCCTGTTTGTTTCTAACACACTAATGAAATAGATTGAGGACCTTGTGCCAAATGCACACAAACGGCATAACACACATCCATTGACACGCACTCTAATACAGTGCAAGTACTTATAGATCTACACTGAACTCCTTCCTTTCTCTAATCTCTTATTCATTTTGTCCACCCCCACCTCTCTTTCGCTCACCCTCACACACACATACACCCTACAGCTCTCTGTCCCCAGCGCTCAGTGTAGTAAACATTGTCTTGTTGCATGATTATAATAGGGAGCTAATAGGGGAGCAATGGACTGATGCATTAGCTGCATCGTCCTGGTATCACTGCCACACAATGTCACTTTTACATTGTTGTTTCCTTGTAGTAAAGTGTCACTCTGTGTGTGTGTGTTTGTGCGTATGTGTGTGTGTGTGTTCAGCTGGACAGAGTCATCTTCTGTGTGTTTTTGCCGACGGATAAGGAGCTGTATCTGAAGAACCTCCCGCTCTACTTCCCTGCTGGTGAGTTTTCTTTCTCTCTCTCGCACACATGCACTATGGGATACACACACAAATACACACACACACACACACACACACACCCATATACAGTGAGAACAGCTCAGCCAAGCCCAGCTCAATTTCACTGCACACACTTATAGAGACCCATTCACAAACATGCACAGAGGGTACAAGGTCTTACCAAATATAATACACATATGTACAAATATATACACAAATACACAAATGCACACACACATGATTTAGAGATACAACATTGACATACAGTACATGTGATGCATATTTGCTGTTTACTGGAATGGTCTCTCCTGTAGCTGACAATCTGAGAAACGGCCTCATTACTTCAATCATGAATTATTATATTTTATTATTTATTTGTTCATTCAGTCAGTTTAATTCTTCAGAGCACAGATTGCAGTGATTAATATGTCTTTGAGTCAAACATTTGTTCTTGTGGGTTAACACACGATGACAAATGTAAATCTGCGCTACACACACTAGCTCATGTAAATTATGCTGTGGAATGTTTCATTCAGAGACATACAGGAAATAATCTACAAATCTATTTCTATCTTTTTTGAGTTATTGCACCACTAAAATGTATTATTTCTTACCCGTCTTCTCTGACATTTACAGGAATTCCCAATTAGGGTGTGCAAAAAAAGTATATCCACATGCAGCTGAAGGGACTTAAAAAAATGAAATAATAATGATAAAATATTCATTATATACAGTCGTCTGTTTGTGATCTAAACATTTATTTGTTATTATTATCATATTATATGTAAGCAAACTCATGTCAGTTCAGTTAAGAGCTGGGTGCAGTATATTGATAGTCTAGATTAAAAAGACTGTCTGCACCTTTTACTACTCATTAAATAACTTTTGTTACCAGTGGGACCAACTCTGATTTACATGTAGCCTTTGTAAACCAAGATGGATGCAATCAGATTTGTGGTCTGGCAAAAAGAGAGATGTACACAGATGAGCCAAAAAGAAGAAGTCTCGCCCCAGACACTGTATATTAAGGTGGATGACGTGGGGGCTCAACAAAAGTGAACCAAAACTATCTTGGTCATCCAGGGCTCATTTTTCTGGTAAGTTTGGGTTTAATTAGTAAGGAGTGAAACATGACTGGCAGCTGAGTCAGCAGGACCTCTATTCTGTGGCTCCATCCCTTGCTCTGATATCATTGTTGCAAGATGGCAGCATTTGTATCAGGCATATTTTGGCTTCATTTCTGGATAGTTGGAGGAAATGTGTTGTCTATCCTTGTAAGTGTATGGCCCTCACTCTCAGATGAATTAAATAACGGTGGGTATCTTGTAACAACGTTGCATAGTCTGGGAAATATTAGACTGTAAGTGAATGATCGGTTCTTACAGTCTGTGTTGGATGCAGAAGAGATGGGCAGGTGTAAAGACCTGAGCGACTCTGACACCTCACATATTACAGGACTTGTAGGATGTAGTTGCTAACATCCTCATGCCAGATACAACACAGCACCTTCAACCTTCAGAGGTGTAGCTGAGTCCATGCCTTGGCAGGTCGAAGCTGTTCTGGCAGCACATAGAGGACCAGCAGCATATTAGGCAGGTGGTCTTAATGTTTTGGCTCATCAGTGTATACTGAACATATGTGGCTCAGTGTAAATGACATTACAGCTGGATTTTATCAGTATATCAGACACCTGATGGGAAAAATGTAAAAACTGCGTGGAGCAAACTGAGGGAATCTGCACACAATCACCACACTCAGCGGTTTTCCTTATCACCTCACTCTCGGGACTAAGGCAAGAAAAATGTTTCCCAAGACACTGAACTATTCTTTACTGTAAACTGTACGTTTTCAGACATGCACTGAAGTGTGGACATTTTCCTGAAATGATCGATGGGCCGTCTATTACCACAGACTTTTCCTACCAGCACCCTATTAAATGTTTGCATGAGCCCATGTGAGAATACAACAGGAAAATATACAGAAAATCCACAGCGAGTGAGTAGGTGTGTTGATGGCGTCTCTAATGCACAGCGAACGTAAAACTGGAAAAATACAAATATCTCAGGATGCAGAGGAGGTGCCATACACATAGAAGATGACAGCAAAGGTGTCAACTTGGAACGACCACATGATTCGAGAGCTTTTACCGGTAAACAAGAACATGTGATTTCCACGGCTGAATTTCCACATCATGTCCTGCCATGTTCTACCCAGACGCCACATTTCCCTGCTGTTGTGAATGTGTCAGACAATCTTCTGCTGCATGTTCATGTCCGAAAATGACTCTGAATGACTCTGTCTGGACCTTTTATTAAGCATCAGCCGTTTGCTCTATTTTCAAGTTGAAGAATTGATTCTGACCAGTCATCTGTGTTTTGCTTTCGTTTCTGTGTCCACCCTTCAGCCTGACCAAGGGCAGCAGCTTATTGTTCAGGTAACTGATTGATTGATTGATTGAGAGAAATAACTACATTTAGTCTGATAGTAGATGGACAGCTTAACTCCTGTGTGAAATATAAAGGCGTTGTCACAGAGAGAAACTCTGAAACATTATGGGGGAAAAAAAATTAAAAACCTTTTTTGCATTCTGTGCATTCCTAAATGGACACCATTGGCCTCAAGCTAGTTCACAAACTTCTGCTGTGGATGAAAATTTTCAAATCTTTTTCCTCTGAGGTTGAAAAGTTTCTTGTTTAAATTGGGAAAATAAGTGACAGCCAAAATTTAAAGCCTCACAGCGTCTTGGCTCCATCTGTGCGTCCTGTCTCACCTACTTCTCAAAATGGACTAAAGTGAAAGTAGTGTGCCATCATTGCAGATTGATCTGTGTGGTTAAATGAAGTTTGGTAAATACGTAAATTTTAATGTTGGCTTGAGCTGTGACATGATGACTTCACCCATTTGTTTTGATTACATTGGTGATTGATAGTGTTATAATGCTAAGCAGTCTGGGCTCCTGAGCCTGATCAGTCATTCACTCAATTATTCAAATTAAGCATTGGTATTACAACTGCAGACCATAACCTCTAATGTCTCGCTTTACCACTGCTATAAATCAAACTCACCTCTCGCCTCAGAACAGTTTGAGAGATGGCATCTCAAGCAGCTTTCTGCTTTCATAGAACTGCTTTTCATCTGCTGCTGCAGAAATAAATGTTCAGAAAGCTGCTGAGGAGAAATCTGACAAATGCTTAGTTTTGTGTGGCTGCATCTCATTTGATCAGAAAATTACATTTCATTTAGACTAGAATAAGTGCCTTTACCACCTGCCTCTGTCAGTTCTAATGACTGTACCACGCAACCATCGAGCAATTTGTATGATGCCTCCCCGTCCTCAACCAAAAATACCATCCCCTTAAACAACCGTCCCCTCTCAGGCATCCCCACACCCTCTATGAGAGAGAGTGCTGCATGTGCAGAGAGATAATTTGTTTGTGCAGATGAGCATCCTGTAGTTAAGGCTGCTAAATAAATCATGGGGTTCCCAGTTAATCCCTAAAAGTTGAAACCAAATGGCATCGAAAAGAACAGAAGGACGGCGCTCTTTGCTTCTCCCACACAAACACTGACCATCTGTCACAGTCTAATTGACCATCAGCAGCGCTGGTAGAATTTCTACCTGTGTCGTTGGTCATTAAAAAGATTTTACCATCTTCGGCAGGCAGACAGGATTTAGCATAAACTAAGTAAATACCACTTTCACTGTGCATGTTCATGCAACAAGCATTCAGTTCTCTCCTGCAGGAGTGTTGTCCCAGATCAGCTCCAAAAGTTAGTCATCTGAAATTCGAAATTCCATCCCTGCATTATTATTTTACACACACACACACACCATTCCCCACCTTGGTAAAAATGATCAAATCGCCTCCTGGTTACAATGATCAGGCTTAGTTTTAGTAACTCCAGTCTCCAGCATTAAATAATACATTCATGAAATGAGAAAAAAATATTTTGAACAAAGATGAAAACAGACAAACCTTAATTCGCTCTACTGACGACAACAACAACAACAACAACAGAAGTGATCACAGTGAAGCAGGGTTGAGCCGGAAACCAAAGGAAGGAGCGTGGTGTTTAATTTTAAATGGAAGGAGAAATTTCATGGGCTCAGTGGCAGTAAAGTCAATACAACAGAGAGATGCCCCCAGGGCTAGAATATATCACTCAGAACAAAATTAATATGCATGCTGCTCAACAGATACATATATAAAGAAGCAGTATAAAGCAGCAGCAGCAGACAGTTTCACACGGTAAAACATATAAGACAAAAACAAACCATAAACTGAGAATCAAAAATATTTCACTTACATGAAACAGACGAGGAGTTGGAGAAGAGTGAGACAGAGAAGAGGAGCTTCATGTTAAAAATAAGAGCAGAATCCAAACAACTTTGAAGCCGTATCTCTCGCATGAGCTTTAAACTCACTGGGGTACGAGTCTTGATATTTTTATCTTTTTGGGGATTTAGGAAGGAATTCTGTCTTATTTCAATGCAGGCCTCAGGCAAGATCAGTCGCTAACACTAACAGCATCTCAAACTGTGATGCCCTTATAATTTAAATACAGTATGTAGGGAGATTAATGGGACGGGTTTTGTTGATTACAATGAAACAAGGATGAAGAGAAAGCACCAACCCACAGTAACACACAGTAGAATGTGCAACTGTGAGTCTGAGTTCAACAGTTTGCAACAAACTGTTTTACACAGAACCTCAGTGTTTGGAAAAGTAAATTAACACATACAAGTAAAGATTTTTATTTAGCTTCAAAGAAGAGATAGTTTCAATGTAATGTAAAATGTGTGATTGTCTGAAGGATGTAGTTTAAAAAGTCTGCCATCGATCCAGTCCCCAAAATATGATCTCACTGAGAGGTGAAAAAAACAGAATGCCAGAAGTTAGACAAACGTTAAGATCTTCATCACTTAGAGATGCAATGATTTACATGCGTGTACATGATATTACAATAATGATATTGTGATTTAATCAGAAAATTTCTTATAAACAATATTTACGACATAAGCAGCAGCGAGAACCTGTGCTCGCTGGAGTTCCTCCCTCTGAATCTAGCCGATAGCCTCACTGTCGACCATCACCACACAATCTCCACTAAAGAGGCAGCTCCTCCAGGTCTGTGTGTTCTTCCTTCACATGTTTTGGTGCTGATGAGCCAACAGATGAAGTGTTAATTGTGAAATGATAAGAAAGTATTATTCAACAAGATGCTCAACATTCCTCATTTTAACTTAAGACTTCCCCCCTGTAAAATGACACACTTATTTCTGATATTATGATATTATTCTCAAACTTTTATGACTTTATTCTCGTAATATAAAGATCTTATTACCTAAGCCAAGCAGGTTATGAATGGATTACCATAAAACTTGGTGGAAGGATGTGGTATGGGTCAGGAAAAAAGAGATAACATTTTTGTGCAATCCTAACTTTTCACTTTCTTTTACATTTCCTCCAGTCTCCCGGATAATTATCAGACACTTCAAGGGAAGTGATGTCTATCAGTGTGAGAAATTTGGTGCAGCTTGATTGAACTGAAGTGGACTGTTGGGCCTTGGTGCGACTTTATTCTTAAAATATCATTTTTTTTTTCCATTTAAGTGGCCCTGATATTAAGTCGTACACTGTGGTCTGCATACTGACTCGACAAAGAAAAAAACCCACTGATAAATCCACTGTAGCAGTGGAACTAAATGGAAAAAAGCTGAGGCAAAGTTGGCAACTTGCTGATGTTTCAGCTTAAGTGATATTTCTCTCATGAGTTTGTTGAGAAACAAAGTGAGAATTACACTTGAAAACCAGATTCTAAAGAAGAGTTGATGTTGTTTTCTTCCATGTTTGCCACAATGACTTTATGAGGTCATAATAAATCAGTTTGTGTTTACAGCTTGTTTCTCAAAGCTAAAATATTCAACTAATGCTGCTGTTCAGGGTCATGCATAACATTAGCTTGATTTCATGCTCAGTTTGTGAAGTTATTTTATGTCATAAATAACAATGAACCACCCAGCTTTAGAGGTGGTTGGTCAGTTTTCTTACAAAGTGTCATGTGCAAGCATGAATCAGCACTTTTAATCTCTGCACTGGGTTATTTGACTAATAAGACATTGTTTTCCACAGAAGCAGGTGTGTCACTTTAAAAACCAAAAGTCGATGCTAGCTCACGGTGTCTTTCTCGTCTAATGGACGTGCAGCAGATTTTGTAGCAGCAGTGAGTGAGCAGTAGCGGTGCTTGGCTGGTAGATGGACCGGAACTGTCTGTCTGTGTGACAGAGCTGCTGCAGGCGGGCCTCCAAGTCGCCGCTATAAACCTTCTGTGTCTCCAACACCTGGCACTACACTACACTGGCTGACGGATTGATGTGTGTGTGTGTGCGTGCGTGTTTTTGCATGTTTTGAAAAGTGTCTTCAGCCATATTGGACTGGGGGTGACTATTCCTCACTAACAGATCCCTCTGAAGCAACCAGGTGCTCCAGTAGCCAGACTGTTATTAACCAAGGTGAAATGCTCTCTCCCCTTGTTTTTTACTTTTCATCCTCTCTCTCTCTCTCAGCTCCCACAGAAGCCTCTGTCAAGAGTAAACTCTGAGAGTGGATTTGTCAGATTTTGTTGCCGTGGATACACACCGCTACGCTCGACATCCAGATTCCTCTTCCTCGCTGTTGACGCATTTCAAGACCTTCCTCAGCTGGAAGACAACTGTTAAATGGTTGATTGTTGATTTTGAAGCTTAATGTCACCGTGTTAAGTGCACATCAGCCTCTCTGCAGATGTTGATTCTGTTTTTTTCCACTAATGCTTCAGGTATTGTCGAAATGAGAGGTGTGAAATGATGCTGATGAGTGGGACTGTGTTCCCTCAGCTGAACTCTTAACTTGACCCTTATTCTCTGTGACCAGTTGCTTTGCAGCAGGTTTACAAGCTAAGTCCTATGCCATGTTTGCTTTTTGAATATTGGGATTTCACTGTGAGTGCATCTGACAAAAGCTTATTAAAATGAATTCCACTGGCTTCTGGTGTGTGAGAATTGATTATTTCTCGAGATGCATGATGTATGAATCACTGAGCTGAACGTCACAAGGGAAAACTTCACATGAAGATTTCCTTCCTTGTTTCTTCATGTCTGTATGTGAAGGGGAAAGAAAGACTGTGATTTTCTGTCAGCAGGGGTGAAAAAGCACATTTAATCCAGGACTGATTATAATTCAGTACAATTTTATTTCTATTTTATGCTTCTCTTATACTTCTACTTATAATTTGGAGGATTGTATCTACCTGACCACTATAGGTACTATTTACTTTGAAGATTGAGATTTTACACACAAAACATATGCTTCTGCAAATAATACCCAGTGTTAGCATCAGTAAGACTAGGTCTATTTAGGTCTATACTTTGGTGAATAATATACTTTTATATTATGTTTATGTTATATATTATATATATTTATATTATGTATTATTTTACCATTTATATGTATGCTTGTTTTTAAATGCAGAAAGAAAGGTTCCTAATCTCTTAATGCCAAGTCTCTCTGATTTAAGTTGTTGTGGCAGACTTGCAGTTTGCTGCTTATGATTACATCTAACAGCTCTAACAGTCCAGTCCTCTCTCTGTATTAGCTTTTGATTTTGGTCCGTAGCCTTCAGGGAGATCTCCGGCTCTTTAGCTGCTAAATGCTCCACTATGTTCACCAGCTGGTCACTGTCTGTCTGCTGTTTGGTCCTGAGCAGGTTGTTTACAGCACGTTTGTTCAAGTGTTCTTGCTAAAAACAGCTGCCTGTGTAGAGTATATTGAGTAAATAATGACGTGAGGCCACACGGTGAATTTGTAATCGGACAGGATGAAATGAAAAACTCACTATAATTCTCTGTAAAGCCGAGGTGAGCTGCAGATTGAGGCGATAATTCTAAAGTGTGTCCCAGGTTTTCACATTGTCGTTTGATGCACTGTTACTGTTTATATCCTCTAAATATAATTGACTGATATTAAGTAATAATGTGAATGCAGATAATAGTATTAGTGGTACTACTATCACTTGAGTTAAGGATCTGAACACTTCTCCTGCAGGAATATCATTTTACAGTCTTTCACTTTGATAGCTTCACTTTATTTTTGGGATGACTGCAGCACCTGTTCATTTTTAACAACCGCCATCAATCCTCCCCCTTCTCCCTCTTTTTTCCTCCTTTATATCCTTATTGTCTGCATGCTGTCCAAATCCCATCCACTCCGGCTGCCTTTCTGCTTGTCACAACACACCATATGTGTGTTTATGCAGCCGCTATCATGCTTCTCCCCACAGCGCATCTGTATGACTTTTTAATTGTTTGTTGCAGGATGTAGCCGTCACATGTCGGCGGGATGCAGGCGGTGATTTGTGTGAAGCGAAATGAGTGTTTAGCGAGCCACCTTCCCGCCCCATGACTTTCATCTGCCAACAGCCATCTTTATTGATTCCAAACAATCTGCCACGGTGGCGCAGACGCACAGGGAGGAGGGAGGTGGAGAGCTAGGCCGCAGGAAGGAGAGGGGTGGTCGGGGGGGAAAACAAACTACAAAGAATATCAACAGGAAATTGGGAGAAGCCTCTTTTTTTGTATAAAAGCTTCATCTGTCACAAAGGGGATTGTCTTTTCCTCTCCTGAGCTCTTTGATTCTCTCCATGTCTGTTTTCTTCTCCCTCCCCCTCTTCCTCCTCCTCTTCCTCCTCCCACTCCTCATGTCTATTTCTTGCTTTTTTACATGACAGGAACAGTGGAAAAAAATAAACAGATGGAAGAGAGAGGGATACAGAGAGAGAGGTAGGATGTTCAAACTGAGAGAGGGGAAGAGGAGAGAAAAGGTGGGGATGAGAGGATGCAGAGCTGGCGGGAGGATGAAGGGATGGAGGGAAAAAGAGGGATGGGGAGCCTGATGAACTCATCTAAAGGCACTGTGGGTTTTTTAATAAGCAGCAGACTGTGAAGCTACTCTGACGATTCACTCTGAATAATGAGAGAGATGGGGGGAGAGAGACAGAGGATGAGAGGATGAAAAGACAACGAGACTCATTATCCTCCGACCAGTTTTCATCACTGTCCCATCAGTAATCTCTCCCTCCCTCCCTCCCTCTTTCCTCCTCTCTAAAACAGTCCACAGCTCTGTTTGAGATGACAGATGAAGACCAATTACGCTAACGGTTTCGTTAACTTGAAGGCTGATTCCCTGCCATCTTCCTGAACATACACTGATAATCCTGTTGGCCCTGGAAATTACTCGCCGCTCACGGCCCGCCAACACACCCGTGTGCGTTCGAGGGAATGTGTGTGTGCACCTCGTAATACCTTCGATGGCAAAAAATGCTGTGTGCAAACGGCTGTGGAAGTGTTTGTGAGGGACAGGGTAGAAGTGTGTGTTGAAAAATGTCAGCTGCTTGTTCAGTTAACAGCATGTGAAGGGGGTGAACTCTCTGGTGTTTGATGAACAATTTATTTCAGGTTGATGTTGCTGACTTTGTTCTCTGCAGTTTAACAGGTTACTGCGTTGTCAACGTTTTCTTGGCACTTAAACATAATTGTTGTTGTTCTGCTTGAGTTTCTTCCTGCAGGGAAGACGTGGAATAAACTTTGTAAGTCTGTCCTTTACTTTACTTTATTTGGCATTTTATTCTAAGTGGCTCTTATTCACATCCTGTAATTTTCTGGTGTGGCTAAGATGCTCCTACATATAAAATGAGGGAGATTTTCTGCTTTTGCAATTTTAACTCTTTATTAAAATTGCAAAAGCAGGTTTATTGTGCTAAGCCCTCCAGATGTGTGGTTCATTATTCTGTCTCCAGTTGTGTTGTTGTAAAAGCCTGGAAAGTGCAGTTAATCACAGTGTGATAAGCCAATTTGTTTATATGCAGGTTTTGTGATGTGCATCACATAACGTGACACATATCTCTCTGAGTGCATGTGCTGGATAAATAAAGATTTCTATATGTGGGTTTTTCTTCATAATGAAAATGTGGTGCTACCTGACAGCAGCAGTTGTAATCACTTAGTGTTGGAGGATTGTCACTCTCTCATCTCTTGTCGTTGGACAAAATTTAGGGGCGAAAATAAAAGAGCGGAGAGCTGCACATAATAATAATAATTCAGATGCAGCCTTTTTATTTTAAAGATCAATGTTTTGGCACAGCTTGTCCTCTTAAGAGCTGAAATCACTGTCTACGTTTGCTGTGTTTACATTTTCATTTGATTAAGTGTCCGCAGTGAGATTTTTACTTTAAATGAAACAGTGTTGATGATGTGTTTTTGTTCCTTTCTCTTTCTTTTCTGTTTACTGCTGATAATTCCATTTTTACACTATTTCCTTTGCACTACTCTCATCCTATACACCCTCATGCCTGCATTACCCTACTATGTTGTAATGTGTACTATGTTTAGAATACTTAATATGTTGCATACTTATATAAACTTATAGTTTATTTTCACTCTACCTATATGTTTGCACCAGGGATCAGAGAGAAATGGTATTTCAATTCCCTCTATGTCCTGCACATTTGGCAGAATTGACATTAAAGTTGACTTTGATAATTCCACAGTGGATTGTAGAACAGTCCCCTTAATTTTTTTAAATAAATTTACTATTTACTAGTCTTTTTTGGGATCTGCAGCAAATTACAAACACTCCCTTTATACGCCCAAACCTGTTAAAGCTCCATTAATTTTTATAAATATTGTCAAGTCCTATCTCGCAATGTTTAAGAAAGTGAAAAACAATTCTTGGATCCGCTCCATGATCCAGAAAATCCCCCCCCACAAAATATCATGAAAATCAGTAGTTTTTGCTTAATCCTGTCAACTCACTTACACCATTCACTTTTATTTAACCCCCTCTGTTGGAGTAAAAGCTCTTTCACAGCAGAGCAGTGGTTATGAAGATGAGTAGATTTTCTTTTTCAATAAAAAGTGAGAACTTACTGTCTGTTAGCGAACAGGCCAAGCTATTGAGATGATGAGTTTGTTGAGTGACTGTCAGGAACCTTGTTAGCTCTGACAACTATGTTGTCCCTCTTCAATAACACAACATGGACCCGCAAATATCACTTTGCTGTGTGGCTGCCACTTAAGAATAAATGTCAGCAGCAACTAAACTGTACAGTTTCTCATCACAGCAGTGAACACACATATATTCCTCATTCATGTTGTAATATTCTAACCACGTGTAAGATTTGTAGTTTTTATCCCAAGTCACCATCATGAGGACAGTTCACACTGCTAATGTTTCCTACTCGGTGAAAAGGAAAAACAGAACCTCCCACAGTTTCTGCCCAGCTACACAAAATCCATTGTTACACTAATACAATCAATTCAGCTTATTTAAAGGAGCTAGTTTGTTTAATTGTAACAATTCACTGCAAACAGAAGAAAATCATTCAGCCTAATTGAACTACAAATATAACATCTAGGAATAATGTGAGCAAACCTCTATTTAAAAGAAATTAACTTTAACCAACATTCCTGATCCCTTCCATTCTTACAGACAGCAACAGAACATGGAAGTCATTCATATAAAGTAACTCCTTCATGTTCTCACTCAGTTAAGATGGATAATGAAAATGAGGTTTTGAATCAACTGCTTTATAAGGTGTTGTACCTGCCACATGTTTGTTATTTAAAATGCATTAAATCACATTGTAAAATGTGGATTAGGGCAAACAAAGGTAGCTCACGTTAAGCTGAATGTCATGAACTATAAAGTGGGATAGGAGTTTTATGAGCAGCACAATAAGTCTATTTTTATGTCAAGATGCAACCAACACAAAGAGAAACAGTGGCTTAAGTTTGAAATCTCTCACAGGCTTATTTAACACAGCGGCCGTGCTACCACTGCCATGTCACATTTATATGTAAATACATTGTAATGGTTGTGGTAGAATGTAGGTGCAGTTTGCAGGCATGTGTGCGCAATCAGTGTGTATTAGTGAAATGTTGCAAGCCTTTCAAATTCTCGGCAGCAAAAAGTGGGAAGAAAATAGCGGGC